CTGGGTGATGGAGCCGGCCCTCGGAGGCCCTGAGGATCCACTTCTGCAGTACTTCCTCAGTCCTGCCCCTTAGCACTGCAGTGGGAGAGACAGCATGGCAAGGGGCAGTGACAGCCCCCCTTGCAGTAAGGCTGGGAGCACTGATCAGGGGTCCTGTGACCTCTGCTCTGATAGTGACACTGAGGTCCACTGGGGAGGCGAGTCATGCTGACATTGGTCAGGAACTGGAAAGAAACTCCAGTGGGCTGGGTGTGGCAGCGCACACCTTTAATCCTAGCACACAGGAGACAGAGGCAAAGGGATCTCTGAGTTGGAGGCCAGTCTGGTCTACAGAGCGAGACCGTCTCATATAAGAAAGCCAAGAAATCCAACTGTGGGGGTGGGAAGAAGTCAGTCCCGGTGTGCTATGGTGTGAAGTTGGGGCTGGTGGGAAATCAGGGTAAGAGGCCCCTGAGGTGACCAGGGAGTTGTTCTTAAGCGCTAAACCCTCTCTCCAGTCCCTAAAGAGTTATTTTTATATTTAATTATGTACATATAGCCAGGAATGGTGGCATACTCCTTTAGTTCCAACACTAGGGAGACAGAAGAAGGTGGATCGCCAAGTTTGAGGCCAGCCTGGTCTACAGAGTGAGTCCCAGGACAGTCAGGGGCCCACAGAGAAACCCTGCCTCAAAAACAAAACAACAAACAAACAACAACAAAATTATGTATATTTCTGTGTGTGTGTGTATGCATGTGTGTATACATGTGACTCCGCATTAGAAAGCATCAGGTCCTCTGGAGCTGGAGCTGGTTGTGGGATCTGAACTCGGGTCCTCTGCAAGAACAGCAGTGCTGTGCCGTCTCTCCAGTCCCATGGGGGAGTATTTTGACTTCGTCTCCCCTCACTCTGCTCCTCCGCAGTGAAGACTGCTGGACATGTGGCTCAGCTGGGAGAGTACTTGCCTAGCTAGCATGAGCAAAGCCCTAGGTTCCATCCCCGGCACCACACAGGCCAGCTGGGAGGAGGCCTGAAGGGCCTGGCTCAAGGCCCCCAGCCACAAACTGTGGTCTTTAGCTGATATTATTTTCAACTCTTTGTGTCTGTCTGTCTGTCTGTCTGTCTCTGTCTCTCACTCTCTCTCTGTTGTAAGAAATAAAAGCAGACACAGTGCCCCCCTTCCTTTGGCCAAATAGGCAAAGCCAAGGGAGAATGGAGTCCAAGTCCTCCTGGGCGAGGCTGGGGCCTCAGGTGCCTTGGCTGTATAGGAAGATGATAGCCTGGGACGAGTGCCCAGGAAGCTGCTTGCACAGGGCTCTGCAGCCAGGCTCAGCAGGACGGCGGTGTTTAACGGCCTCCGCTTTGCTGAGAGGCGGTCGCCCTCCCTCGGCTTCCTAGCACAGCATGTGCAAACTATTAAGTTGGTTTATTTTTTCTAGAGTGCCAGAGTGGAAGTGATGTAGACAGCCTCACGGTCACCCGTGGGAACATGACCTCCAGCATTTTCCAAAGCTGGCATTTCTGGGGCCCACCTTCCAGGCCCCCCCTCAGCGGAACCCCGTGTTGACAGCAGTCACTGTTTAGTTCTTTGTGGTACTTTGGGGGAACTATAGAGTAGAAGTGGGCAGGGCTAGGAGTAGGGTGGGGTGGAGGGATGGTTCAATGTTAGGAGATCTGCTCTTGCAGAGGACCCAGCTTTGGTTCCCAGTGTCCACATCAGGGAGCTCACAACTGCCTGTAACTCCAGTTCCACGGTATCTGACGCCCTCTTCTGGCCTCCACAGGCACCTGCAGTTCCATGGTACACACACAGAGAAGCAGGCACATACATATACATATAAATAAAAATAGATTTAAAAAATTTTAAATAGAAGGATGGGATGTGTCTCCAGTGAACTCTGGGTCCATGACTTGGTACCCGGGAAGCCTGTTTCCACATCCACTCATGTTAAGCGATGGGGGAAAAGGGTATCTCTTTAGGTCACTCTGCAGCCTGTGAGTTGGACTATTGCTGATTCAAGTCCTCGGGTAAAGGGAGAAGCGAACACTGTGTGCTGCAGACCAGTTAGGCATAGCCAGCTTCTAGAAACTTCCTCGAGGCAGGTTCTATATCATCTCTCATCTCGGGTATCCTTGGCATTGAAGCCTCCTTTCATTCCTCAGTCACCTAGTCATCCACCTAGGCCTGTCCCGCTTCTATGGCATCTTCCACATTTGCCCATCCTGCCTCCATATGGTCCAAACCGCTGCCCAGGAGGAGGCCTGGACACCTGCCTCAATTTCTGATGAAGGCCAGAGGACATGTTCCTCTTCCCAGCACCCTGCTCCCCTGAACCAGCCCTGGTCCAAAGAGAAACCTCTGAACTGACCCAAGGCCTCTTACACTTGCTAGTGCCCCCCCCACTCCCTCATAGCCTTAGGCTAATGGTGTGCTTACTCACGTAGCAGATCACCCCTGGGGTTGTGGAGTATCGCCCGCCCTCTGCCCTAAACCCTTACTCCCTATCCAGAAGCTGGAACCCATGTTGAGTGTGTCATACACTCGTGAATGAGTGACAGACAGAGGCCCAAGGAATGCACACCCAGAGAAGGAGCAAAACCAAAACATGGCTCCAGGGTCTGGAACACAGTGCAGAAAGCTCTGAAGTCGACCTCCAGAACCACATAAACCTGGCGTTGGCGAATCCCTGTCATCTCTGGACCTGGGAGACAGAGCCTGGGGAATCAGGAGTGTTGGGGATTGCGGACCACCAGACCCTGAATTTCTTGTCAACAACTTGTTTTCCTCTGCTCTGAGCACGAGACCCTGCTGGCAGGCTGGTGGGGCTGCAGCTGAACTGTCCGAGAGCGGGGCATGGCCAGAGCCCTATATAACCTGCCCCTGAGCACAATAAAGTGGGCATTCTTGTCCCCATGGCCCATGGCCCCATGGCCCCATCTGTCTGTCTGTCTCTGTCTGTGCTTGTATGTTTTTAAATCTTAAGCCTAGTTCCCATAGCACGTAGTGTGAAGACGGAGCACACAGGAGTTCAAGGCCAACCTGGAACTCCATAACACCCTGTCTCAAAACACAAACATGGGCATAACTGCTCATGCCCCAGCCCAGAGCACAGGCCTCCTCTGGCTTTGGCTGGGTCCTTACCTTCACATGGGCTGTCAGGCAGCAAGCAGAATGCCCATTTCTCTGCCTTCAGTCCCAAACAAGCCCATATGACCGAGGTCCCTGTTGCCAAGGAAGCAAGTCCCACCACATCCAGGCGTCCACCCTTCCCAGGAGTACTGCACATCAAAAGACCATGAACCCACAAGGGCAAGGACTCTGTGCTGGGATTCCAGGTGGAGTAGAGGAAGAAAGCCGAAGGCTGTGATGGAGAGGGTGGAGTCTGAACCCTCACTTCACCTGGAACCTCTGCTCCAACCTTCAGATGCATTTCACGTAGCCCAGGCTGGCCTCCAACTCGCTGTAGCCAAGGATGACTTTGAGCTTCTGATCCTTCAGCCTTTCTCAAACGCCGGGATTCAGGTGTGCACTGCCATGTCTACTTGTAGGTGGTGGTGGGAGTGGAATCCAGTACTTTGTGCAGGCTGGGCAAGCATTCTACCAACAGAGCTAAGCCCCAGCCTTCGAAAGAAACGCCGATGCCCAGGGGCTGAAGAGATGGCTTAGTGGTTAAGAGTGCTTGCTGCTCTTTCAGAGGATGGATGTTTGGTTCCTGGCACCCATAGCTTGGCAGTTCACTGCATAGAGCTCCAACGTCAGGTGATCTGCTGCCCTCTTCTGGCCTCTCTGGGCACTGCACTCATCTCTCTCTCTCTCTCTCTCTCTCTCTCTCTCTCTCTCTCTCTCTCACACACACACACACACACACACACACACACACACACACACAAATGATGCCCACCTGAATGTGGTGGTCCATGGCCATCACTCAGGAAGTGGAGTCAGGAGGATCAGGAGTTCAAGGTCACCCTGAGTTACAGTATGCCCTGGGTATAAGAACAGCCTGTTTTAGGCTGTCTGGAGTGCCACACTTCATGGAATATGAGCTAGAGGGGCGGATATGGGAAGGTTAGCCCACGGCACTAACCACATCCAGATAGGCTATGCCACCGTTCTGAGGGGTCCATCTCACCTGCCACTCCTGGAACAAGACATGGTGGATAGGGGCTGTCGTGGATTTCTGTTGGCTGAAAAGCTGTACTCTCCTGGGGTTGGGGAGCCTCTGCCACCCTCTCATTGCCTGCAGGCCTCTCCGATGATGACACTGGCTGGTAGCACATGGCCTCTGTCACCCCACTTCTGCCTGGATGGGAGGAATAGGCAGGCCTTCTAACGGCCTCAGCTCTCAGCACTGGGATGGGAGTCTGTCTAGGACCTCAGGTCTGGGCCCTTCTGTCATTTTTTTTTTTCCGAGACAGGGTTTTTCTGTAGCTTTTGGAGCCTGTCCTGGAACTAGCTCTTGTAGACCAGGCTGGCTTCAAACTCACAGAGATCTGCCTGCCTCTGCCTCCCAAGTGCTGGGATTAAAGGCGTGCGCCACCACTGCCCGGCGTAATTATTTTTTTTAAGGTTGAAAACCTTCTTTAACATGTAACAATGTGTATCTGTGTGTGTACCAAATGAGATCCCACAGAAGCCAGAGGAGGACACTGGATCTCCTAGAGCTGGAGGTACGGAAGCAGCTTACTGTGTGTTCTGGGAACCGAACTCGGGTCCTCTGGAAGAGCAGCAAGTGCTCTTAGCCACTGAGCCATCTCTGCAGCCCTGTAATTAGCTTTAATTGTCAGTGCAGCACAACATGGAGTCACCCCATGAAGAAAGTCTCAGTGAGGGCTGTCTGAATCAAGCTGGCTATGGCCACGCCTGTGGCAGGCCATCTTGATTGCATGATATGATGCAGGAAGACCCGTCCATTGTGGGAGCTCCTGGACTATGGAAGCATAGAGAGGGAGCTGAGTAAGAACACATACATTCGCTGCTCTTGACTCTGGGTGTGACCAGCCACTACAAAGGTCCTGATACCTCGGCTTCATCACAATGGAGGATGTCACCTGGAATTATGTGCTGAGGTAAATCCTTTCTCCCCTAAGTTGCTTTTTTGCCAGTGTATTTTGTCCCAGCAATTGGAAAGGAAACTAGGGTACTCTCCATGGCCAAATAACCAGAGGATGCCACACTTCTGCACATGCTCAGTGGTAAGAAGTCCCCACCCCTTAGGAGTAGCCACCCATCTGCCATACCTCATGAAGTGGAAGAGATGTGCCCTGGCCAATCACCCAGCAAGACTCCTCCAGAACCTCCAGGTGTCCCCATGGAACGGGAAATGAAGCCTGGGGCAGGTTCTGCCTTCTGCCCCGTCTCCCTTCTGGGGACCCTGTGGGGTGACAGTGCCACACCTGAAGAACCACACAGTGCAGGCGGTGAGCCCCACAGAAGCTGCTGTATGAGCCAGTCCAGGCCCAGTGCCACCTGCCACCTGTCTGTCAGGAGGGCTGTGAGCCAGGCAGCCAAGCGCTGGCACCCTCTGCGAGCACCCGCTGTGCCCTTCTGAAGTCTCCTGGAGCTTAAGAAAAATGGTTTTATTCCTTAAAGACAAAAGCTTTTTGGTTTTAATACATAAGTGAGTTCCTTGGCGGACTCCTGTTCCGCCTTCCGGCCAGGCCGCTCCAGGGACCTCAGGCCACAGTCTCAGCCACCATAGGCAGAGAGATGTTCACCCGCACTTCTAGCACCCGGCAGGCCTCTGGAACTCAGGAAGCTGGGGTGAAGAGAAGGCACAGGAGAGGCTGCCCAGTCTCCCTGGGGACAGAGACAGACAAGGCCACTTCCGTTGCTGCTGTCTGTCACTGGGTCAGGAAGGAGGCTGGACCCAGTCCACACTGTCAGTTCACTGTGGGCACCTGGCTGTGGTGCAGGCTGAACTCTTTGGCCTTGAGGCGCAGGCTGGCGATGCTGTTGGCCATGTTGACCCCAGGGGTGGCAGGACTTGAGCCTCCGGGGCTGTAGGGAGGCACAGAGCTGGGAAGACAGGAAACACAGGAACCCATTGGTGCATCTGGTAGTCTTATTTCCTTTGATGAGCTCAGGGTGACTCTGGCCAGGGTGGCAGGGTCAGGGGAGGAGACAAGCATGCAGAGGTAGGACTGGGTCAAAGGAGCCTGCCTAGCCCAGTGAAGTGGCTCACACCACTACAACCCTAATATCGGGGGTGCTGAGGCGAGAGCATGGCCTAGGCTGTTGTGTGAGACCTTCACCTTTTGTTTGTGGGCGTTTCTCTCTACATGGAGACCCTCCTGAGAGTGGGACATGTGCTCTCTGCCCAGCTCTGGGTGAGGATGGATCAGGAAGGGAGGCAGGAGACCTGGGAGCCACACAAACTAACCCACAGGTGAGGGGATGGAGTTGTGGGACATAACAGCCCAATTCCTAGCGCCCGCTCCTTTCCTCCATCTTGGAGGGAGCCATTTTTTAAAAAGACTTATTTTCCTTTTTATTTACGTGTATGAGTGTCTGCCTACATGTATGTCATTAAACCATATGATTGCACCCATGTATGTCATTATAACATGATTGCCTCCATGTATGTCATTACACCATATGATTGCCTACTTGTATGTCATTATACCATATGATTGCTCACATGCATGTCATTACACCATATGATTGCCCACATGCATGTCATTACACCATATGATTGCCCACTTGTATGTCATCACACCATATGATTGCCCACATGTATGTCATCACACCATATGATTGTCTCCATGTATGTCATCACACCATATGATTGCCTTCATGTATGTCATCACACCATATGATTGCCTACATGCATGTCACTACACCATGATTGCCCACATATATGTCATTACACCATATGATTGCCTTCATGTATGTCTTTACACCATATGATTGCCTTCATGTATGTCATTACACCATATGATTGCCTACATGTATGTCATTACACCATATGATTGCCTACATATATCATTATACCATATGATTGCCTACATATGACACCAAATGAGTGTCTTGTCCCGGTGGAGTGTAAAAGGTGTCAGCTCACCTGTACCTGGAGTTACAGACGGCTGTGAGCTGCCACGTGAGTGCTGGGAACTGAACCCAGGGCCTCTGAGAGAGAAGCCAGCACTCTTAACCTCTGAGTCATCTTTCCAGCCCAAAGAAGGAGTTTATTTTGTTTGTTTGTTTGTTTGTTTTAAGCAACAAAGCCACTGCTCTACATGGCTCTAGACCCGGCCAGGATTACAGGATGGGAAAACTTGGCCTCAGCCTTCCCAGACTGTTTCCCGCCTGGAGGGTGGACACAGGCATGGGTCTGGCTTGAGACTCTGTAGTAGCCATCTAGCTACCTCGGGGTAGCTTTGCTCTCCTCCACACAGGTTTGGCTTCTCCCCTCTCCACACGCAGGTGCATACACACGTGCACATCAATGCTTGTGTGGACACACACATGCTCATGATTCTGTGCATACCTGAGCACTCACACACAGGCTCATAAACACCCACATGTATACATACTCATCCATACACCATGCAAGCTCTCCCCAGAGAGGTGGCCCCAAAGAGCTCCCCAGTCTCACCTGTAGGGGGATGATGCTGGCCAAGACAGATAATCCGGGCTCAGCGCGGTAGGTCGGGGGGCCACCGGCTGCTCAATGGCGGTCTCCTGGCCATAGGACTTGAGCAGCGAGGCAGAGCGTGTAGCTAGCATGGCACGTTCGTTCCGGCGAAACTTGGCACGGCGGTTCTGGAACCAGACCTGAGAGGGAAAGCGTGGCAAGTGGGGTCCAGCAGATTTTGAGGGGACCTACATCTGTGTGGATCTGGGCACATAATGTGCTGCCCTAGCCCTGAGCTGGTGGCTTCATTCTCTGACCTTTGGACTCTTGCTCTAGAATGGGGGTGATCAACAGTGCCTGCATCTTATACCGGGAGCAAGAAATCAGTGGGCGGGTGAACCCTTTGGTCCTGGGATAACGTGGGCACCCAGGTGGGCACCCAGTGGGCACCCAGGACAGAACTGGCAAAGGATGGCTGAAAAGTTAATGATATCTTCTTTTATTGTTTTTCGAGACAGGGTTTCTCTGTGTAGCCCTGGCTGTCATGGAATTCGCTCTGTAGACCAGGCTGGCCTCAAACTCAGAGATTCGACTGCCTCTGCCTCCCAGTGATGGAATTAAAAGTGTGTGCTACAACTGCCCAGCAAAAAGCTAATAATTTCCTTGCCAAAAGCTTCGTGCTTGGCACTGCTTTATGTGTGTGTGTGTGTGTGTGTGTGTGTGTGTGCGTGCACACGCGTGTGTGTATTCACACGTATGCACTCACATACATGGCTGTGTGGAGGTCTGTGGTCAATGACCACTATTGGATCTCTATTTGGCTCCACGATTTTCTTTTTCTTCCTATTTGTTTGTTTATTGAGACACAGTCTCCCGCTGAGTCTGGGCTTGCCTGGTCTAGACTGGCTCCAATGATCCCCCAGGATCCTCCTGTCTCCACCTCCCCAGCAAGGCATTACAGGTGCACACCGCCTCTCCCAGCTCTTTAGGATGCTGGGTATCTGCGCTCGGTTCCTCGTGCCACGGCAGGCACTTTGTCTGCTGAGCCGTCTTCCCAGTCTTCCCACCCCCGCTCTGCGTTTTTTACAGAAGCGTCGGCTCCCTGGGTAACAGTCTGCACTCTAGCTGCATCTGTTCATTTGCAGGGAGAAACTGATCGGGGTTAGACATCTCGCTCCTTCCACGTCACCAGCTGTGGCAAGGCTTTCATCTGAACTTCATTCTCCTGGCTCCGGGTGCTCTGAGCTCACCCCTATCTCCCCTGGCAAGTACCTGCCCCCCCGGTCCACCAGTGGCCACCAGTCTGGACGGCCACTTCCTCTCCTGGGAGCCTCTGGATGGGTCCTACTTACTTGGACACGTGCCTCGCTGAGGTTGACACGCCGGGCCAGCTCCTCACGCACAAAGGCATCGGGGTAGTGCGTGCGCTCAAACACTCTCTCCAGTGCCTGCAGCTGGCTGCTGTTGAACGTGGTTCGGTTCCGTCGCTGCTTCTTCTTTCGCTTGGTGGCACTGCCACGGCCCGGGCTGGGACACTCACCTAAGGAAAGATGGAGGGTCATCAGACTGGCTTCATGGTGCCCACAATATCCCTTGTGACATATGGGGTCTCTGTGGCCCTGTCCGGGGATGTTCACAGTATCAGCAATCTGTTCCTCTTACACCGGCTTTCCCTGAGGGGTGGGACATATCCTGCTACCTTTTGCCTATGTTCATATATCACTCACCCACCTGTTAGTGGTATGAATGAACTACCCATCACATATCCATCACCCATATATATCATCCATACATCTGCCATCCATCTACCTGCCTGTCAATTCATCCATCCATCCCCCCACCAACCCATCCATCTGTCCACCTCTCCATATATACATCCATCCCTTATCCATTTGTCCATTCATCCATATATCAACTCATCCACCCATCCACATATACACTCATCTACTTGCCAGTCTGTCCACCCACCCATCCACTCATTCATCTGTCCATCCATCCCCCTCTTCATATATCCATCCATCCATCCATCCACTTCCTTATCTAGCCATATATCCATCTATCCATCCATCTATCCATCCACTCCCTCATCTAGCCATATATCCATCCATCCATCCATCCACACATCCATCCATCTACCCATCCTTCCATCCACTTTCTCATCTAGCCATATATCAATCCATCTGCCTGTCCGTCTGTCCATCCATCCATCCATCCATCCATCCATCCATCCATCCATCCCTCCATCCCTCCACCCATCCATTATTCACTTCTTTGAGTGAATAATTCACATCCATTATTCACTAGTGTCTCTCTAGATAGACTTTGTGGTCAGCAAGCTCCCCAGGATCTGCCTATTTATGCCCCCACCCTGGTGCTGCAGTTACAGGTACCCAGGCTGGGGACCTGCAAGCTTACACAGCAAGCATGTTGCCCACTGAGCTGCCTCCCAGCTCCTAAAATGTGTGTTTTAATAGCCAAGAAACATCGGCTGCCACAGTGCCATGTCCAGCCGACACAGGAGGCCCCAGCTTCCCCCGTCGTGTGCCCCATGGTTCATACGACTGCAACATACAACCTTAACGGCCAATATGCATGCTGCCATGCCACGTGTGCCGAGGCTCTGACTGGGTTGTTTTATTTACTAATATTCTGGAACCTTCCATCTCTGCACACTTGATTCTGTTTTCTCTCTTGTTCCTCCCTCTACCTGCAGGAGCCAGTTTTTTAGTTAGCTTTTTTTTTATATTTTATTTTGTGTACATTAGTGTTTTGCTTGAATGTACATCTGTGTGAAGGTGTTAGATCCCCTTGAACTGGAGTTACAGACAGGTGTGGGCAGCCATGTGGTGCTGGGAATTGAACCCGGATCCCCTGGAAGAGCAGATCTTAACCACTGAGCCATCTCTGCAGCCCTTTAATTAGTTTCTGCCCCATCCCTCCAGTATTGTTCTTTTTTTCAAGTATAAAATATGTGTAGTATTTTTTTTCTCATCTAGAGGAAGTGTCACTTGCACTAATCATGCCCCCAATAAGCCTTCCTGGGGCAGTTGGTGAATGGGACCTGCTTGCTTCTCTTCACGGCTGCATGCTATTTACCCCTTATGCAGCTGTGCTGTAGCTTGTTCACAGGGTCCTCACGATAGACACTTGGTGTGTTTCCAAACTTTTAAAGCTAAAAGAATATTATAGCTGGGCGGTGGTGGGGCACGCCTTTAATCCCAGCACTCGGGAGGCAGAGGCAGGTGGATCTCTGAGTTTGAGGCCAGCCTGGTCTACAAGAGCTAGTTCCGCAACAGGCTCCAAAGCTACAGAGAAACCCTGTCTCAAAAAGCTAAAAATAATATTACAATGAATCCCCCATGCAAACAGTAGCATCTGTTTTTGCTGTGCATCTTGCTACAGATGCTTAAAGGTGGGAGTAGTGGCCAGTGTGTAGGTGTGGCCCAGTATCCTATAGGTCTGTCCCGTTCATTTCCCCATCACTGCTGCTTGGGAGGCCTTGGTGTCTGCTCTTCAGTTATCAGAGCCTGCTGTCAGGCCATCTTTGCGATTTTGATCCATACTTTGTATTTTTTTTCTTTAATGATACGTTCCTCCCTGGATTTGATATTCAAAGAAAACGCCGTAGCTTTGGAGTAGAGCACTTGCCTGTCAGGGGAAGGCCCTGGGTTTTGTCCCTAGCACTGCAGAAGAGAGTGAGTGTGTTCCTTGGGGGAGAGGGAAATGAAGAAGTGCCAGCAGGGTAGTTCAGTGGCCAAGGGCACTTGTAGACAAGCCTAACTGCCTGAGTTCAATCCCCAGGACATGGTAGAAGGCAAGAACTGAACTGACTCCCGTGAAAAATGTCCCCCGACCTCCACGGGAGCACTAGGGCATATGGATCCCCCACTCAACTATCCACACACTCACAAAATAAACAGAAATGTAATTTTTTCCTTTTGAGACACGGTTTCTCTGTATAGCTATAGCTGTCTTGGAACTCGCTTGGTAGACCATGGTGGCCTCGAACTCACAGCGATTCTCAGGCCTCTGACTCCTGAGTGCCGGGATTAGAGACCACTCTACCCAGCCCCTGATCCCACTTTCAATTTATTTATTTTCAACACTGGGGGTGGAACCAGGGTCTCCTGCTCGACACACGCTCCACCACTGAGCTACAGTTCAGCCCTGCAGACAGTTTTGTTTATCAGGGGTGCGAGTGGGACTCACAGCGAGTTAGGGATGCCAGTCAGGGCCCTCCAGCACGCAGGCCGGCCCTGCCCCCATGTCCGGGCATCCTCTGCTCCAAAGTGCAGCAGCGGACTGAGCAGGAGCTAACTCCAGGGTGTTCCAGGGGGAGGCAGTGGCAAGGGACCGCGGCATAGCTGGTGCAAGCCGGCCTCGTCACCTGTTCCCTCCCCCTGCCCCCTTGTCACTCCACACCCCTGTCTGGTCTTATGTGGAAAGGCTAAGATGCATGAGTGTGTCTGGTCCTGGGAATGTCCCCATCCCCACCCCTCCCCCCACCCTCCAACCCCTGGACAGGAAAGAAATCCTAAACCAAAATAACTAAGCCCGGGTGCTGAAAGAAAGTCAGGTGGTGAACAAGAGCCCAAAAGTAGAGATGGAAGCTTCTGGAACATGAGCCATCCCTAGAGCTGACTTCTGCCCTCCCTCAGACAATGCCACTTGGGCATACACCCAATGCAGGAGACATTTCAGCCAAAAAAGGAGAGTTTTTCTGGACATTTCTGGGCAATTGGAAACTGGGGGTGTTTAAATGAAAACCATTTTTGCAGGCTCCCTCGCTGAGCTGTGGGAAGAAACAATGACACTTGGGGCCAGATATGCTGGTGGTGACTTACAGCAAAGATTCCCAATGCCCAGACCCCTTCCCTGATGCCAGCAGGGGTCCATCAAGGGACTTTAGCCATTGCCTCACTCCCTGGGTCAAGACAGCAGGTCAGTTGGATGCAGAGCATTCCAGGAAAATCAGTCTGCACAAGAAATGATCTTAGTATCCCCCCCACCAAAGCTCAGCATGGCTGTGAGGTGCCGAACCACTTCATACGTGGGGAAAATGAGGCTCTCAGGCCCTCTCATTCAAGGCTGTGCAGTTGGAGTTGGGACCCATGTCGGCTGAAAGGCTCGGCAGCCCCATCCCCATAGGGTCTCCTTCCACAGCCACCTCACTCCCAGGGACACTGTCGCAGCTCACAGAGTCCATGGTGATAAGCCTTCTAGCCTCATGTCTCAACCAATGCAGAGATCCAGAGCCTCCCTGACAGACCTGAGCTTCCTAGAGGAAGTCTCTAGCGGGGTTAGGGACAATGGCTTGCTCTAAGACTCAAGCTGGTGTGAGCTGCAAAGCATCCTCAGTGCAAGAGCACAGGCAGCCATTGCTCAACAAATGAGCCCTCCTGCGCTGTGCCACAGCCTGGTCCTGTATCCTTTCCAGCACAGAGGTGAAAGGGTGGGGGGGCTCGGCCACCGCAAAGCCCAGGCAGCAGCCTCCCGAGTCACAGCCTTGAGCCCACAGCTCTCGTGAGGGCCACTGTCTTGCCTGCTTGTCACAGGTTCCTGCTCTGCCTACTGAGAACAGGGATTCCCTCGGGGCTCCAAGCTTGGCTTCAGATATTTGGAAAACAAATAAATTCTCTCCAAGCCCCAGTAGGTGTGCAAGTCCCCGGCTCATCTGGGCGACTCTCCTTGGCTGGTAAGTCACTGGGTGGGCTGCATCCCAGCAGAGCCTGGGCAGTCTCCTTTGGTTCCGGGACCACTCTCTGCTTTCTGCATGTGACTAATTAAACACATTTAAAGATCCCTGTGAAAGCTCACACATCCAAAGGCAGCCTAGGCTACAAACTGAGTTCAAGATCGGCCCCGGGGAAGTTAGTGAAACTCAGACTCTAAAGGAAAAATCAGAGGGCTTGAGGATGCGGCTCAGCGGTAGAGCACTTACATGGATGGGGCCCTGACTCTACCCCCAGAACAGAAACAAAACAAACGACAACAGAAAACAAAGGAGTAGCTGGGTAGTGGTGCACACCTTTAATCTCAGCACTCCAGTGGAGGCAGAGGCAGGCCGATTTCTGGGTTCAAGGCCAGCCTGGTCTACAGAGCTAGTTCCAGGACAGCCAGAGCTGTTACATAGAAAAATCCTGTCTGGAAAACCAAAACAAACAAAAAAATAAATCCAAAAAATAAATAATGCAGACAGAGAATCTACACAACTCAAACTCTCACAACCTCATTGGCACCCCCACTGCTCTGCTGAGCTTGGGCCAGGACCTTGTGACAGAAAGGCCTCTGCGGCTTTTGGTCTCTTATTACCTAAGTGACACTGTTCCCAATGATATAACAATGATAAAGTGACCGGAACACACACCATTTATTTGTTTGATTGTGACCCAAAGACATTTAAAAGCCCTGTTTGCTGCCAAACACCCAAAGTGTCCCTCTCCACTTCTATGTTCTTATTCCCTATAATTTAGGGTCTAAATAGCCTCGGGGAAATTCGCTGAGAATTCTTCAGGAGACAGATAAACTCAATCTGTCCAT